GTGCAGGTGGGAGGTGATAAGGTTGAGTAGAGAGAGGAATATAAGGGAGACAGGAGCTCAGAATTCAGTCTGAGGTTTTGTAGAGTCAGCATTTAGTCTGAGAACTTGTAGAAATAAGACACCCCATTCTGTTTGAGGCTCTCGTGGAGGTCAGAACTAGTGGCTGACAGCGTTGCTTCTCTGATCTTTCAGCTTTCACCCACTAATATCTGACTCCAGGTTTTTATCATTAAGACCAATTAGAAATCATGCTACAGGCAGGTGGATCGCTGTGATTTCAAGGCCAGAACCTGGTCTACAGAGTGAGTTCCAGGACAGCCAGGGTTACCAGAGAAACCCTGTCTCAAAAACAAAAAAACAAAGAGTCAGAGAATTACACTTACAGGCATGCCAATTGATCTATGAATTTAATGCAAACCCAATCAAAATTCCAAAAGGATATTTTTGTTTTGAATATAAACAATTAGATCTCAAAGTTTATATAGAAAAAAGAACAAAACTAAATAAAACACTGGTAAGGGAGGGCATGCAGTGCAGGCAGAGGTGGCACACAGATCAATGGGCTGGAATGGAAGCCCAGAAATGGACCCACAAACTTTCTTCTCAGTGTGGATGATAGAACTCGGGGTTTGGGGCAAACTCTCTACCATTGACCTGTAGCTGTAGCCAAGATAATTTGTCTGTTATAATGGTATAAATTGTGGTGTAGTGAAAAGACAGTTTTTGTAACAAATTGTGCTGGGGAAAAAATCACATTCATACACAAAAGAAAAAGTTTGAGTGTTGATAAATGGTTAATCAAACAGTTCATAAATCTACATGTAAATGCAAAAAATAGAAATACCCTGAGAAAGAGCATAGAAAACACCCTCTCCTGGGGTTGGGGAGAGGTCGTGAGTATAGTACCAGAAAAATGAGTCGTAGGAGGGAAAAAATAAGAAAAAATTGGATTTCATCAAAATTAAAACCTCCTTTTGTTCTGGAAGTGACATATATTCTGTTAAAAGAATACACATGATGAGCTAGAGACTGGGAGGAAATGTTTGAAAAGCTCACATCCAACGAAGAGCTATCTAGAGTTTGTATGAAATCGCAAACTCAGCAATTTACAACAACAATTTATAGTTAATGGGTTGATGGAAGAGAGGAACATTTCCTTCAGTGGCGAAGCCAGTGGTAAGGCTCCCATGCTCTTATAAATAAGCCCTCATTTGCGCTCCCATAAGGAACCCTCCTGAAACTCACTGGTGTGCGTGCACACACACACACACACACACACAAACAGGAGTGGGAACTAGTTCAGAAATGAAAAGGATTAGCAGGCATGGGAGAACGAGAGTGAATATGATCAAAATACATCATGTACATGTATGGAAATGTCACAGTGAAACCTATTATCAAGTATAATTAATATATGCTAATTAAAATAATTCTAAAAATAAAATGCAAGGAAAGGTTTCCTTTCCCCAGATCCTTCAGTACTAGTTAATGCCATGTTTAACCACATAAATTCTTTGTCTATTTCATCCTGTCACAAGGCATCCCAATAAAAAGCAGACGTTTGGATCACAGAAAGAGCCCTTACTTGATGAGGGTCAGGAGACAGGCCTCCTCCTTCTTCTCTCTCTCCTTAGCTACTTGGACCATGAGAAAAATATCTGAATACCTCCAAGCCTCAAGACCTACTGTGTAGCCATTTCCTTCCAACTGAAACAGTCCCTTCAGGTTAGAACAGTGGTTCTCAACCTGTGGGTCTCGACCCCTTTAAGAGTAGAATGACCTGGGTTGGAAATGCGGAGCGGACGAATTCGATTCAATGGAGTTCCGGGCCAGGCCACGGAGCAGGTGAATGAGCTAAAGGAGAAGGGCAATAAGGCCCTGAGTGCTGGGAACATCGATGATGCATTACAGTGCTACTCGGATGCAATTAAACTAGATCCGCAGAACCATGTGCTCTATAGCAATCGCTCTGCAGCCTATGCCAAGAAAGGAGACCACCAGAAGGCCTATGAGGATGGCTGCAAGACTGTTGACCTGAAGCCTGACTGGGGCAAGGGTTATTCAAGGAAAGCAGCAGCCCTTGAGTTCCTAAACCGGTTTGAAGAAGCCAAACGAACCTATGAAGAGAGTTTAAAACATGAAGCAAATAACCTCCAGCTCAAAGAGGGTTTGCAGAACATGGAGGCCAGGTTGGCAGAGAGGAAATTCATGAATCCTTTCAGCTTGCCTAATCTGTACCAAAAGTTGGAGAACGATCCCAGGACAAAGGTTCCTACCTACCGGGAACTCATAGAACAGCTCAGGAACAAACCTTCAGACCTGGGCACAAAAATGCAAGACCCAGGGATCATGACTACTCTCAGTGTCCTCCTTGGGGTTGATCTGGGCAGTATGGATGAAGAGGAAGAGGCAGCAACACCCCCACTCCCACCTCCTCCCAAAAAGGAGGCCAAGCCAGAACCAATGGAGGAAGATCTTCCAGAGAATAAAAAACAGGCACTGAAAGAAAAAGAGATGGGAAATGATGCCTACAAGAAGAAAGATTTTGACAAGGCCTTGAAGCAGGGCCAAGGAACTGAACTGGACCCTACCAATATGACTTACATAACTAGTCAAGCAGCTGTGCACTTTGAGAAAGGCAACTACATCAAGTGCCGGGAGCTGTGTGAGAAGGCCATTGAAGTGGGCCGAGAGAACCGAGAGGACTACCGACAGATTGCCAAAGCTTATGCCCGAATTGGCAATTCCTATTTCAAAGAAGAAAAGTACAAGGATGCGATCCATTTCTACAGTAACTCTCTGGCAGAGCACCGAACCCCAGACGTGCTCAAGAAGTGCCAGCAGGCAGAGAAAATCCTGAAGGAGCAAGAGCGACTGGCCTACATCAACCCTGACTTGGCTTTGGAGGAGAAGAACAAGGGCAACGAATGCTTCCAGAAAGGGGACTACCCCCAGGCCATGAAGCACTATACAGAAGCCATTAAACGGAACCCAAGAGATGCCAAACTGTACAGTAACCGAGCTGCCTGCTACACCAAGCTCCTGGAGTTTCAGCTAGCACTCAAGGACTGTGAGGAATGCATCCAGCTGGAGCCAACCTTCATCAAGGGTTACACACGGAAAGCAGCTGCCCTGGAAGCCACGAAGGACTATACGAAAGCCATGGATGTGTACCAGAAGGCACTAGACCTGCACTCCAGCTGTAAGGAGGCAGCAGATGGTTACCAGTGCTGTATGATGGCACAGTACAACAGACATGACCAGCCCTGAGGATGTGAAGCGGCGGGCCATGGCTGACCCTGAGGTGCAGCAGATTATGAGTGACCCAGCCATGAGACTCATCCTGGAGCAGATGCAAAAGGACCCCCAGGCTCTGAGCGAACACTTAAAGAACCCTGTAATAGCACAGAAGATCCAGAAGCTGATGGATGTGGGTCTGATCGCAATTCGGTTATAACTTGCTTTTCCCCTCTTCCCTTCACCAATGTGGAAAGGCGAGCTGGGACGGTGGCGAGCAGCACTGGGCAGAGGGAGGGGAAGAAGGGCTTATCTTTGTGTTTATACATGCCTGCAAGGAAGACAGACTCATCCAGCGCCACCTTGGGCCCTCTCAGCACACGCATGGTTTCTTCACTGCTGCCCTCGAGTGTCCTTCCCTGCCCTCCCCAAACCCGTCTCTGTCTCGGCTGCTCCCCTATAGTTGGTTATTTTGTATTTGGGGGCAGTGGGAGCATACGGGGAGGGGAGGATATTCTTCCCAGTGGGGTCCCAGCTGTCTTCACATGTTGTTACCCCACGTCCTTCAATAAAACAAGCCAGTCAGGCGTGGTTATATGTTAAAAAAAAAAAAGAGTAGAATGACCCTTCGCTACCCTTTCATAGGGTTGGCTACCCTTTCATAGGGGCCGCCTAAAGCGATCCGCATATCAGGTGTTTACATTATGATTAATAACAGTAGCAAAAATGCAGTTCTGAAGCAGCAGCAACAAAAATAATCATATGGTTGGGGGTTACCACAACATGAGGAACTGTATTAAGGGGCAGCAGCATTAGGAAGGTTGAGGAAGAGGGGAGCTCTTAAAACTAAGGAAGCTACAGAAACTTGTAACACTTGGAAGTCCTTAAAGTTACAAAGCTTTCCCCAAGGTCATGCAAAGCAGGAATCAATCGCTGGGGAAGAGGAGACTCTGGGCAGAGTTGGCTACAAATTGTCCAGGAGGCTGTAAGGACAGGACACTCTAAGGATACAGCTTTCGTGAGTCTTCAGGTACGATGGAGAGTACCTTTTGGTGATGGGGCTGCCTTTGATACCCATGTTCCAGCAATCCCTTCCCCATGATCCTGCAATCCCTTACCCAGGATCCTGTAATCCCTTCCCCATGCTCCTGTAAGCAACCCGAATAAACTTATTGGCTCACCAAGCTAGAGCTGAGTAGGATCATCTCTTTGGATTGTCATGTGGAGTGAACAGACGCTTGTTCATGTTTCTCCTGGAAAAGTTACGTAAGTCCTCATCCTATGACTTTTCTCTATACTCCACTAATGTCCTGGCATCAGTGAGTGTTCCATACAAATACTATGTAATTTAAAGTAAAATTGATGAGTGTAACCGTCACTAAGCATCAAGAAAACCCCCAAACGTCAGTGTTCCACACTTTGGTCCTCTTTCCTCCAGGCCTTTGGGGACTCTGGTCCCAGGCAGGTGGTGTTTGGATCGATCCCTAACCTGAAGCACAAGGAGTCATGGGGAAAGACCAGCAACCACAGGGTCTCTTCATCCTCAACAAGCCGGAAACTAGGTACTTCATACTTCTGTGTACTTCAATGGGTCCCACATTTCAGATGTGGTCTGGAGAGAAACTGAACCGCTGAGGGCGGTCTCTAGTGGGCAAGGAAAGACGCATGACCCAGAGTGGAAACCCCAACCGCAGAGGCACCCCCATCAACTCTGCACCACGCTCATCCTGCCACATCTCAAGGCAGGAGTTGGGACCACTCACCTGTGGTGATTGAGGTGTACTGATAGGGCTCCGACAGGAAGTGTGGGAGGGTGAGGACAAAGGCACCTGCCGCCAGGAGGAGACCCCCTATGCCGATCATCCGAGGGCGGTTCACACGACTGCCAAAGTAGCTGACAAAGATGATGAGGACGGCATTGCTGATCTGTAGAGGGGACAGGGGATCAAGTGAGAGTCATTGCTGATCTGCAGAGGGAACAGAGGACCAAGTGAGAGCCATTGTTGATCTGCAGAGGGGACATGGGATCGAATGAGAGGCCGGTTGGCCCTGCCCTTCCTGGGCCCAGAAGAGACCAACCATACTTCATCTAGGGAGAATAGGCAGGGAAGGGGTTGTCCAGCATTAGTAGGGGTCCCTGGCAAAGCCACACCAACCTTGCCCAGATTTTCTTGTTTAGGCTGTATTCTCACTGCACCGGTTTTCCTTCAGCTTCTGCTTTTGGGACCAACCCAGTGGAATTATCTGAAGACATGACAAACTAATCCAAATATTGATCATTTTATACACAAATTCTGAATGTGTGTATGTGTCTCCAAGAGGGTGTGCTCACTGTGCAAATGTGTATACTAGTAACCTCTTTTTTTCTTTTGATTCAGTTTCTTACCGACCTGAAGCTCGCCAAATATCTAGGCTGGCTGACTCCAGGGATCCTCCTGTCGCTGCCTCCCTAACTCTAGGATTATAGGCACTTGCTACTACTACACCTGGATTTTTAAATGTAGGTTCTGGGGGTGGAACTCAGGTCTTTATGCTTGCACAAGAAGTACTTTACCAACCAAGCTCTCTCCCTAACCCTTCTAGAAAAATCTTTAGGGGCAAAATCCAAGGAAGCCTCTAATCCTGGAAGGTTACCGAAGTAGCAGATGTTTCTTAATTAAACTCCTAATCTTAGTGAAGTCCAGGCTGACATCCTCAGGGACTCTGGACTGAAAGTCAGAATAACAACCAAGTGACATTCGTGACCCCATGCCCCCTGCAACTGCTCTCATTTAAACTCCATGTTAGTTAATTTTCATCAACTTAAGACAAACTAGAGTCATCTAGGAAGAGGAAATCTCAATCAAGAAAATACCTCCATCAGCCGGCCTGTAGGCAGGTCTGTGGGGACATTTTCTTGATTAATGGCTAGTGTGGGAAGGCCTGGCCCACTGCAGGTGAGGCCATCCCCAGCAGGTGGTCCTGTGTTGCACTAACAAAGCCAGCTGAGAAAGCTGAAGGGGAAGCTGGGACATTTTCCTGCATGGTCTGTGTGCTGCTTCAGTTCCCGTGCTGGCTTCCCTCCACAATGGCCTGGTGTGGAAGGGGAAGAACGATAAACCCTTTCTTCCCCAAGTTCCTCTGGCCATGGTCTTCATGATAGCAACAGAAAGCAAGTTAGAACTTGACAGCAAAGCTGTTGTGCCTGCATCCGTGAAGTCAGGAGACAGACTGAACTGGGTTGGGGGAGCCCAACTTTAGGTTGTCTACACCGTACTAGAGCAATCTTCTGGAGGAGCTGGCTTCTGTCTCACCAACTCTGGGTCTAATCCACCCCCACCCCCATCCTAAATTCTTCAAAATGAAGGACAAGGACCATGAGTACCCTTCCAAGTCCTGTCTAGTGTGTCCCTAATGGTCCTTAGAAGGTGTCCTGTGTCCACCACTGTGACCCTGAATGCATTTCCTCTCCCATGACCACCTTCTCATGGAACCTATCTATCAGAACTTTCTTTCTAAACTTTTGTCTTAGCTTTATGTCCATCCATTCCTTTCTGCCTCCCAGCATCTAGGGCAGTGTCTGGCACACAACTGATGCCCAGTAACATGTGTCAAAGAGCATGACCAACAGACAGGGCTGTGGCACATAGAAGAAGGTGTGAAGCTCTGTGAGGTGAATGAGGAGGCAGCCTGGCTTTGGCAGGGAGCCCTCCAGCCTGAAGTTTCTAGAACATTCTGTGATGGGAAAGATTATTCTTGAGCTTCTTGGGTTTCATTTTTTCCCTCGTTTTGCTTCTTTATTGCTTTTTTTTTTTTAATAAACGAACTAAAATGTCAGGCCATTTCAGCTCTCCTAGATGACTCAAAGGGCATACGTGAGAAGTGGGCTCCAGAACAAACCCAGGGAGGAATGTTCGGGTACCTGGGCCCCCACTCATCTGCAGAAGCCAGGGTTGGTTTCTCTGTGGGTCCCTGGGCCTGCTCGGGTACTGGGTATTGCTACCAAGCTTTTCTTTGAAAGAATTCTTCATTCCTTTCCCACTGAAAGCACACTTCAAAACTGCAGCTGTTCTAGCCAAGGAGGAGAGAATTCAGGCCTCACCCATCACCCTCACAGCGCCCCTAGAACAGCTCCATCTACTTGATGGTATTGATCATTTGAAATCTGACATAATGCCCATTAATATCATACTCTGTCCTTCCGTGTCTCAAAACCAAGAGGTTAGGGACTGGAGATGGACATTCAGAGTGGGGTCTTAGGGATCTAACCCACCTTGTCTCTCCCTCCCCCCCTTGTGTCATGTCACAGTAGACGATAGGAGCAGCTGCTTCCCAAGGCTAAGACAGTCATGGCTTCTCTGTTCAAGCCCCTCCACCTGCCCTTGAGCCGCCATAGTCAGTCTGTGTCCTTTCATCTCACCTGGGCCCAGGAAGGCTTTGGAATTGGAGCTTCAGTCTGAAGGTCTGAACTCTCACTATATACTCAGATGGCCCCACCCACCCTTGCACCAGGCTGGACCCTCTTCACACATCTCTGGGGACACACACACACACACAATCACCTCCAACAGCACACAAATTCCAGTTGTTCCTGGACCACAGTTTTATTTCAAGCATTCAATGATGCAGACAGAGTTCAGGGGTAGGATCTCATGGTTTTGGATTCCGTTGACTGCGGTGGGAGAGGGTCTACCAAATATGTCAGATCTCGTTTGTTTAGCAGAGGAGCCTAGAACAAGGTGTGAGAAGGATCCAGAGGCCGTGTCTGGACTCCCCAAGAACTGTGGGTGACTTGTGATACGAACAAGGTCCAGGGCCAGGCTACAGTGACATAAATGTCAGAGGTTTGTTACCTTGCTGGCTGGTGTGTGTGTGGACAATATCAAGTCAAAGGCCAAATCTAAGGGTTGTATTCTGCACTGGGCAGTAAACCCAGTCCCTTGTGACGTTCCTCCCAGATCCTGTGGTTAGGATAGTATATACAATGAAGGGTGATCAAGAGCCTCCCACTCAGGGCTGTGGAGACAGACGGCTCGGCACTTAAGAGCACTTGTTGCTCTTGCCGTAGATTTACGTCTAATTCCCAGCATCTACATAGTGACTCACAAGCATCCATAACTCCAATTCCAGGGGATCCAATGCCCTCTCCCGACCTCCCTGGGCACCAAACATTCATATGGTACACTTACAGACATGCAGACAAAATACTCACACAAAAATAAGTAAATCTAATTTTTTTTAAATAAAAAGCTTCTCACTCACCTCGTTCAAGCTGGAAATGAGACCCGAGGAAGAACTGGAGAGGCCAAAGCGCTTCTCAATGGTGGTGAGGCTGCTCTTGAAGTAGGCGCTGTAGAGCAGCTGGCAGAGCTGGAGGAGGCCATGACACAGCACGAACACCTGGGGAACAGACGACAGCCCTGTGAGGTCTCTGCACAGTGGCCCGGGTGCCTGCCCAGCCTTCCAGCCGGGGCCTCTGGGGGCAGTTGGGACTGTCTCCTCCTTTAAGGTCAGGCCAGGGAAGTGGACATGTGAGGAGAGATCAGGTCAGGGACTCCCATTGAGGCTGGATTGTCATTGACTTTAATAGGCAGAAATGCCAGCAGCCACGAAGGAGAAAAGGCCATAGACGAAAAGGGGCCCACGAGAAGTGTGGTATGGGAAGGAAGGGCAGCAGGTTCAGAGCTGGTATCCTTTAGTTTCTGAGCATGGCGTTCAGAGAAGACCCGTCCCCCTTCATTTCCACTAGTCATGAATTAGCAGGAGTGGGTAATCCCCTACCAACTTCCTCTGCCCTCTCCTGAGAGGAAGAAGGAGATGGTGGGAGAGAAACTGTCTCCAAGCTCTTCCTGAAAGATGCCTTTGCTGTTTCCAGTAAATACTGGAATTCTGCATCTTCACCCCTGGGCTAAGCCTTTGTCCCTGTCCCTTCATCACCACACTCACACCAGTGCTGGCCACTGCAGCCCTGGCCAATCTGCGCACGCCTCACTGACGCTCTGACAGAGGTGCTGATACGGGTCTGAGTCATAGTCCAGGGGATTCCGCAGGTGGAGAGAGAGACGGGATGTGCGGTTCTAACAACAGGAGAAAATGCCAGGAAGAGAGAAAGCCACAGAGGGATGCTTTTGACCGAGCTTGCTGGTCGGTGCCACTCCAGGGTCACAGGCACCTGACTCTGTACCGTTTCATGAGGACGGAACCAGGAGACCACCATGTCCTTGTCTGCTCAGACTTACCAAGTACCCATTCTCATAGCCAGCAGGAGAGAGAGGAATGACCACCCTCCAGTGTAAGAGTGACCGCCATCCCTTGAGAAGGGTGTGGTTTGAGGGGACGCACAGATTGACAGAGGAGTAGGGAGGGACACGCTAGCTGGATTACAGCCTCCCGCTACTTCCCTTAGGCCATCCTGGTTTCCAGAGGGTTGGGTTGTGGAGCCATATGGGACTAGGTCCAGATCCCGGCTCTGTAAGAAACCTGTGGCTACCAACAGGGTCACCCTGAGCCACAGTTCTTTTAACAGCACCCAGGGACAGTAAAACCCTACTGAAAGGATTACCCAAAGGGGTGTGGTTAGGACTCTTGGCACCATGCTGGGCCCACAAGCTGCCCTAACTCATTCTCCCCTCACCCCTAGAAATGAACTTCTCTATGGCTTTCAGCTCTGTACCATGAGATGTGGGAGCTGAACGTTGCTATATCCCCAGGCTGCTACAGAAGCTGCTCCTTGCTCCACATGCTCCGAATCCAGTGGAATTCCCTGGAGGTTGGGGGCGTACTAGAACATTCCCCCATGAAAACCTGCAATTACATTAGCAGGGCAAAGGCTCTGAGAAGTCCTTCATTAAAGACCTGCTCAACTTTAAGCCAATTTCCCTCATATCTGTGTGTGTGTGTGTGTGTGTGTGTGTGTGTGTGTGTGTGTGACTGGTTTGAAGCCAACCCCCAAGTGTTCTTCCTCAGGAGCCATCTTCCTTGATTTTTTTTGAAGCAGGGTTTCTCACCGGGACCTGGAACTGGTAGGTTAGGCTAGGCTTGCGGGCCAGGGAGCTCCTAGTGTGCCTCCCCTGCACTGAGCTTACACACACACCACCACCACCACCACCACCACCACCACCACCACCACCACCACATGTGGCTTTTCACTTGGGTGCTGGAGACTGAACTCTGGCCTTTCTGCTTTCGAGGTAAGTTCTTTACCCCATTGAACTTTCCAGAACCCCGACCCACCCTTCTTTACCTATAAACAGCTAAGTGCTCCACTCCATCCCATTTAACAGACAATAGACCTCTCCAGAACACCTTGCAGAGAGATAAAGAAAAGTAAACAAAGACCGTATTCTACGGATTACTACTATCAATGCTCTCTAGCTCTGTGTTCTCCCTTTGTTCCTTCTCTAGGCATTTCTGGATTCCACGAATTATACGGTGGTACATACGATTTCTTGTTTGTTGATATTTCCCCAACAGGCTGTAGACTTCCAGGAGAAGAGGTGACAAGAGATTTTTCAGAACGAATAATCCCCTGTGCTTGAAGCAATGTCTGGTTCAGAACGGTCAAGTGAGCATCGTGTCTTCAGAACACTGCAATAACCTGTAGTCTGGACTATTTAGTCAGCAGAGAGCCACTCAGGAGCCCAGTGGTGGTGGCGCACACCTTTAATCCCAGCAGACGTGGAGGCAGGCAGATCTCGGTGAGGTCGAGGCCAGCCTGGTCTACAGAGCAAGTTCCAGGACAGTCAGGACGTCACAGGGAAACCCCATTGTAGGTGTGTAACATTCAGGGCATTGCATATTCATTGAAATGACTGGTCTTGATTATTTATCAAATTCCCCTTTGATGTGGCTATAATTGGTAAGCATGGGCTTGCTGTCCCCTAGCTTACCTGCCTTCCTCAGAATGGCACTTGAGTATTCCAAACCCACACTACAAAAGTTAAAGATTTGCAACTGTGTATACAGGGGCTTTCTGATGTGGCTGAAATCGTCTACATTTTTATGGCGGTGATATTTATACAGGTAGAGTTTATATTTAAGGTCTGCGCATTTTATTGTAGGCAAGCTAGGCCTCAATAAAGTTGACTAAAGGAAAATTCCTTTGAAGACAAAGTCACAAGCATGAAGGGTTTCCAAATAATATTCTGACGCTTTGAAGGACATTCTACAAACAGCCTTCTGGTTTTGTTTTTGTTTTAAACTATGAGCATTGGCAATGTTGGGAAATGTTTGTTTATTCAAGGGGCCTATGCTGAATGGTTCAAAACTCATGTAAATATTTAGATTTGTGTGTCTATACTAATGCAAACACCTAGGTTTACAGGGTGTGTGTGTGTGTGTGTGTGTGTGTGTGTGTGTGTGTGTGTGTGCGGTGTATGTATCCTTAACACAGTACTCTTGTAGGTACATCTTGCAGAGAAAGTCAGCAAACACGTCCTTGCTGGGAACTTTCTTGCAGGGCTGCATGTGAGGAAGGCTCTGGAACATCCAAATATGAAAGCCATGCTCACAGCTCCACTCCTCCAGCCCTGTTCCTCAGTCCTAACAGTTATGGAGGCTCTGGTGGGTTGGGTGAAAAAGAGAGAGACAGGGAAACTGGATTGGCCATTAAGACCAGTGACCTAAGAAAGGCTAGAGGAAGCCCATGACAGTAGAGTGAAGTATCCCACGCCCAAGGCAAGTTTCAGTGATGTGTGGAGGACAATGGCAGCGGCAAGCACTCGGGGTGAGTAGGGAACTCTGACAACTCACGATAATAGGGGAAGGGTCAAAGGACACCCTAGACAAGCTTTGTTTTGTCTTCATTATCGTTTTCACAACCCGTGTTTTTTCCTGTACTAGACATTGGAGCTATGAGGTCCTGGCATCAGAGCATAGAAACTCTGGCAGGTTATGATGCTGCCACGCAGTCTGACATGTGCCCAGAGGGTTACAGCCAAGACAATGGCTGCCCTGCAGCCACTCAGCTCTGATTTTGTACACGTTCAGCTCAGGGAAGTAGAACTCTGCTCTTGGGAGTCTTTATGACCACTAGGATGTGACTTCGCTGAGGTGATTCGGGACAATGATGGGAGCTGGATAGCAGAATTAAATGCCTTAGGCAGCCTGAGGGTGGCCTGGCTGAGCATCAGTTGGTGACCTCCCAGCCCTTCCATCCCTAGAGAGTAGCTGTCTGCTTCTCAAAGAAACTGTCAGGGTGAATGAGAAGAAGCAGTCCTTCCTAAAGAAGGGAGGGATAGAAGAAGGAAGGAAGGAAGGAAGGAAGGAAGGAAGGAAGGAAGGAAGGAAGGAAGGAAGGAAGGAAGGAAGGAAGGGAAAAACTGGACATAGAGAAACTTTCCCCTCGCTCCACAAGAGCGTTGGGTGGTTCCGGAGTGTGCCCAAGCTGCTCTGAGTCCTCTGAGCCTGCTTTAGCTTCTTTGACTTCAGAGAGGGCCTGGAAGAGAGCTTGGCCTATAAAGTGTTTGCATCAGCAGTTAACCAACTCCCAGAACCCACGTAAAACCCCAAATAGCTGAGTTGTAGTGGTGTGCACTGTAAGCCCAGCATGGCAACGGCAGAGATAGCAGGGTCCCTAGAGTTTGCTGGCCAACCAACCTGCCCTAATAGAGGAGACCCAGGTCTTAGACAAAGATGCTGCCTCAACAGCAACAAAATGAATGGCTAACACTTGAAGCTGACCTCTTGACCTGTGGCCTCCATACATCTGTATACATGTGTTCTACACATACGCATACATACACACCATATATACATACAGGTGCACATGTACTCATGTATACATGCATGTACACACACACATCTGGCCTCAGAGACTACTCTCTTCCTCTTTTCTCTCTAAGCTGGAGCTGGCTATGAGCCAGGCCATCAGGAATTACTACTGCTCAGAGAAATGGACTTCTTGGCAAGGAGATTTCAAACCACACTGAACCCCCAGCTGGGCCTGAGCGGCTCCGGCCTGCAGGGACTCCTGGCCTCCACAAACCAGGTCCCACTTGGGATATTAAAATCTGTTCATATTTCTCTACGCATTTTATTTCCCCCCTTCATCTTAGAATCAATATAATAACGTTCATATGCTTAAGAAACTCAAGCAGTTCAGAAGGGCTCAGAGTAACAGAGCCAGCGGGCACTCAGATGCAACTGGGTCCCGCAGCCCCATGGCTTAGGTTTTCTGTTTCTCCCGGACACCATCTCAGCCCTCTATGTTCGGTATAGAACCTCTTGTTCTGTCGTTGTAGACTATGCGCCTTCATGGACGGGGAGTCTGCTCACTTAGACGTGCCTTCTCCCTGTCCCTCCCAACTTTTCATACTTCTGTCCATACCCTCATTATTGTTAGACCACCCCACTTTGTAGCAAGCAAAGCGGAAGCCATAGGAACAGGGCTTGCCTCCTGG